TGATTCAGCAAATTCATTTCTGGCTCTTTGCTCAAAGAAAATGAAACCAATAACACACAAAGCTCTAACCACCCGTATGTTCACCGCAGCGTTATTTACAATAGCCAAGATATGGAAGCCACTCAAATGTCCACTGACAGACGAAGGGATAAAAAAGATGTGGTGCATATAGACAATGGAATATTACTCAGCCATGAAAAATAATGCAATTGTGCCATTTACAACTTAGATGAACCTAGAGAGTACTATGTTAAGTGAAGCAAGTTGGAGGAAGACAAATACCATATGATTTCACTTATATGTGGCACGTAGAAAACAAAACAAGAGAACAAACAAAACAGAAACAAACTTATAGACACAGAGAACAAACTGATGGTGGCCAGAGGGAAGGGGATGGAAGGCTGGGGACGAGGGAATTTTTGAGAACTAAGAAGTACAAACTTCCAGTTATAAAATAGATCACGAAGGCACAATATACAGCATAGAGAATAGAATCAATAATATCGTAGTAACATTGCGCTAGACTTATTGCAGTGATCACTCCATAAGGTATACAAATGTCGAATCACTGTGTTGCACACCTGAAACTAGTATAAAACCGTATGCCAACTATAATTGAAAATAAATTTAAAAATCTTTTTAAAAATCAGGATGTTTCACATGAAATAGTGAATTTCTGATATCTGAAAAGTTCAAAGAGCTGGCCATACATACCCAAATGGCAACAACGGAGTAGTGGCCGTGCTGCTGTGTATGTGTGTGTGTGTGTGCGCGCGCGTGCGTGCGCGTGTGCGTGTGCGTGTGTGTGTGTGCGCGTGTGTGTGTGTGTAAGGGGGACTCCGGGTCACCAGCCTGATCCCACTCTGGCGCCTAGGAAATTTGAATTTACTCATTGCTTTAAGACCTATGATGCTCTCATTTCTATATTTCAAAAGTAATAAAATTTGAATTTTCTGCCATTTCAGATTGACGTGTTTATTGGATTTATATATTCTTTAGATATCAGACTTGTAGCGGATCTAGTTGTTAAATAAAATCAAAATAAGCAATACTCCCGGAAAACACAAGTCCAAATGTTCTCATTATTATGAGATTTAAACTTTCCCTTCAAAATCGGAACATTGCCAGTGGACCTCAAGTTTTATTTCCACCTTCACCATTTTCTTTGATAGAAGATCGATCCCTGGCTTCCTTTTTTTTTTGCATAGTACTTTACGCTTTAACTCTCTTTTATAAAAAATGTACTCCCAAATATGTCACAAACAAAACTGTAAGTGATACCAGTGTGTTCACTGTTCTGCGGTCCTTCCTTTCCCATGTGGGGACAGCACCCCGATTCGCTGATTCTTCTTTGAGGAACCGCCCCCCACCAACCCAGCCCAGATTCGGGCCCATGGCCCAGACAGGGCCGATGAGTTGTCTCTGAGGCTTGGGCTGTGATTCGTGGGGCAGAGAGGTTCCCTTCTGGGTGAGTCCCTTATGACAGAATGCACGCTGAAGTTGTTGGAGGTCATTTTTGTCACCACAAGAGTAAACAGAGGCAAGCCAAGCAAGAAATGGGGAGAGACTGTAGCCTGTGCTGTAAAATATAGTAGCCATTCGCCCCGTATGGCTATTTAAATTTAAATGACATGAAATTAAAAATTCAGTGTCTCAGTATGAGATGCATTAGCTGCATCTCATACATGCAGTAGCCACATGTGTGGCTTGTGACTACTATTTGTTCGGAGCCAATATAAGGGAGTCCCATCCCCACAGAAAGTTCTACCAGATGGCACCGTTCGATAATATCTGTGCCAGAGTTCTAGCCTCGACTTTTCAGCTACGTGAGCCAATCAATCTCTTTTTCATTCACATGATTGGAGTTGGGTTCATTCATAACCCAAAGGACCCAAAGGCTCCAATGAGACTAGGAAGGTGACCACGTGCACGATTAGGTTTCACTTGGGTGTCATCCTTCAGCGCTAGAGAAAATAATCGATGGGTCCAGAAATATGGTTAAGCAAATGACACTCAAGAAATACTCATGCTGTTTTACCATTTTCTATTGTCCCTTCAATTAGAAAACAATTGCAGATGCAGAACAAATGAATGTTGAAAACACATGTCTTTCCTAAGTACCCCTTGGTGTTTATCAGCATAAGCATAATTAGAATAATGGACAACACGTAAGAATACAGGAAGAGTTTTTCCCCATCAGAAAGTGTTTTAACATCAATGATATGGAAATAAACTGACACGGTGTGCTTCCTGACATAGAACAATGAGGATATAACATCATATATGTACTATTCTTGCCCCAAATGCATAATTTGAATCTAATTATGAGGAAACTGACAAACTCAAATTGGGGGACGGTCTGTGAAAGTTTGTCTTTACTTTTCAATAATGTCAGTATTATGAAAGATAAAGAAAGGCTGAGGAACTGTTTCACATTAAAGGAGACCAAAGAGATTGACACCTAAATGTGACGTGTGATTCTGGATTGCATCCTAGAGCAGGGGAATTGTCTATTAGATAATATTATTGTAACAATGTTAAATTTGTTGAATTTGATAACGAAACTGTGGTTGTATAAGGGAGTGTATAAGAGAATGTCCTTGTCCTTAGAAAATACATGTTTATCTTTACGGGGTACAGGGCTATAATCTCTGCAACCAATTCTCCAATGTTTTAGGAAAAAATACATACAAAGATGAAGCAAATGTGGGTATAAACTGTACTCTTCATGCAGCTTTTTTTCTAGGTTTGAAATTATTTCAAAATATAAAAGCAAGCAAGCAATAAGTGTGTTTCCCTCTTAGGGCAAAAAAACTACTAGTATTTTTCCATGGCAAGTCTCTCAAGTGGAAAGCAAAGTGCTTCAAGTGTTTTTCAAATAGTACCTCCTGAAATTGTTTTGAGATGTCCCAATAAAATTTTAAAAAATGAAATAGAAATCAGGGCACTTTTAATATTCCGTTTGTGAAACTATACATACATACCAGATCACAATGTTCAGTGCATTTACTGTGGGTTGCAGTTTTTAAAAAATGTTTGAAAGCCTTTTATTACAGTATCTTTACTAGGATGACTCATTACAATCTACCTGAGACAGCCTGTTTGTGCCTCTTGTCATTGCATGATAGCAAACCTATTCTCTTTCAAAAGTGTTCAGATTTGGATTATAGTCACTCATATTTTAAGCCACTTTAATTCCTTTTTTATAACAAAGTACAGTATGCATAAGTATACTTAGTGGCCAAAAAAGGACTTTAGCTTTTTTTCTAAAGAAGAAATAAATTTATGTATTATTTATATGATTAAATTTTAAAAAAGTTTTCCAAACTAAAAAAGTTTTCCATTATAATCCCTTGGAATTATAATAAACTACTTATAATGAACTAGAGAATTTTCTGTTACATGGAGTAGTTACATTATAAACTACTTATAATGAACATGTGATTTTCTGTTACATGGAGGACATAAATACCATTTTGAAAAGAGAGTTATTGTAAATGAGAAAACACCTAAATACAACTTATAAAGAAAATACGAATTCCACTGCATTTTGGTATTAATATATAAAATACACATCAAGTGTTATGAAGTAATTAAATAAACATATTAGCTTTTTAAATGTCTTGTTTTTAGGGAAGAACTTGGTAGACGACTACCTATGAGGACTTTTAAATTATGATTAAGTTCTAAGTTATGATTAATTTCTTTTCTATTTACCATTCAGTAGCCAATCAGACATCTACCCAATGACAGCACTTAAGTAGCTCAGTGATATTACAACAGGTAAGAGGCACTAGTTTGTTTAACCCTACAGGTAACAGCCACCATCACCAAATGACATGCTGTCACAAACAGAAGTCAAGACTTTCAATGTCTTAAAGTAAGGCACCCCCAAACCTATTCAGGAGAGCTCAGCTGCCAAAGTCACTGACATACACACTCTTAAAGCTTCATCACCTACGATTAAACCATCAATTTAAAGATGAGAAAATCAAAGCCAACAATAACCGGTTACTAACCATTAATTCAAGCACCTTAAGGCATCAAGAACAGAGGCACTAGTCACTGTAAATTTCTGACTTCTATGATTTTTCCTCAAAATCAAATTTAACGTTTTACCCAGCCTGGAAACTTGGAAGCAGCAGGGATGTAAGATACTAACAGCAGCATTAGGGTCACATTTTTGGGTAAAAGGGATGTTTTAGTTCTACACTGTTTCGTAGACCCTAAAACCGAGAGGAGTATCAGGTATTGAATGTAACATAATCTGTGCCAATCTGTGATGTGGAGTTCTGTCGATATGATGAATTTTTACTCAGGATTTTCCATGTTTTTAATTGGGGGAAGGAATCAGGATTATCCTCCACACTGGTTAGCAGAAGAGTGAGTGCAGAGATCAGGTAAGCCAAGGACAGAGTGACTTAATTTGGGATTAGAAATGGCTCAAGAAGAAATTTTACCTTGGGCCTTTTACATTTTTCAGTATAAACTGAGTTCAATCCCTATATGGTGGCAATAAAAAGTATAACTACATTTGAGTTTGAGAAGATAAACTGTTATTAACTTTTTGTCTTGTTTCAAATTATTTTAAACAACATAAATGCTAACTCTGGATGGATATCATGCAGTTTCTCATGCCATCAGAATTAACTGTATTTTAAATGCTATCTTCCAGTCCACGGCCACATGCGCACGCATGGTAAATGTACATACGATTTGGTGTTTATCTTTTAAAAACTAAAAGTTAAGAAAGTCAGGACCTTGTGATAACTTATATAATGCAAACTAGGTAAATAATTGTTGGGTGACTTTTCATATATTTGCAAACAAGAAAGTAGCCTTTGTACAAGTCTATCTTTATTTGTAAAAAATAATATACAACTAAAGCTAATTTGATTTTTAAAATTAAAGTTCATTTAGTGATAATGTACATTTTATAATAAAATTGTAGTAAAATACTGACATTTGATAGTTTAAACAAAGTATCGTTCATGTAAAAATCATGTTGTCGCGTGTAAAATTTAATTAGAAAATTCATAGTTCACAAAAGTACATATATTCTGTTGACAGCATATGAGAACATTACCATAAATTTACTTAAAGATACAGAACAAAATTCACAGTGGGGCTTGACATTCAGTACTGTAAGATCTTATGCTGAATCCACTGATATACTTGTTAATAAGATACACTTGAAATAATTGATTCAGGCTACCAATGATTTTACATTTTATTGTATAACCAAGATCTATTGGTTTTACAATACGTCAAGTGATCAATTATTTTACCAATCATTTAGAGAGAACTCGCTGAAAACACCACTGTCATGTACCCTTAGCAGGATAATTAAAATAAAAAGCACTAGCAGCTTTGAGTTCCATTTTCATGAATACATACAAGACAAATCCATATTTTACAGTTAAAATTTGTACAAAAAGTCAAGCCCTGAAGTGTTTTCCCCCCCGAGAGAAGTTCTGATGTTAAAATTTTGTTTAAGAGAGAGGTAGTGCGTGAAATCGTTTTTACTTTTACTTAAAATGTTGAACCCCTGCACCGCTTATAATATCAATGAAATTTAACCTTCTACATATTAACATTATTTTGCCATTCAAGAGTCAAATTTATAAAACTCACAGAATGTTAAAGCGGGAATGCCATTAAAAAAGTGGGATGTAAGTGGAAGAACTTCGATGAATTCAACAAAAAGTACATGATATTACAGAATGTTGTGCAGCTAATAGTTAAGTGACAATATGTTTAGTGGTAATGTGAACAAAATACACTTAAGTATTGAGTCAAGTGATCTTCATTTAATCAAGACTTTACTTCTTCATATACTTTGACCATACAGTGAAAATATCCTTCAAAACGGAGTCGTTTGATTCTTCATTGTTTTAATAGCACGCAATTGCTATAAAGATATCCATACTAGCCCTACAATAAAATTAAGCAATAAATAACTCTGAGAGAAATAGCCATAAGCCGCAGAGAACGTACGTACTTCACACTGCTCTCGGCTTCTATGTGCGAGCGTGCTGTAGTGTTTGTGCCCACTGTACAGTGAAATCAGCCAAGGAAGGAAAGTGAGCAGCCTCACTCTTAACTTGTTCTAAGTGGATGCACTGGAAAGTAATAAATAGCCTCATAAAATTAATAGCGATAAACTCTACCTGTCAAAGGTGAATACTCTATAATTTTCATAAAGTGTAGGCAGTGTTCCTAGAAATCCCATTAAGGAAAACCCAAAATGTTCATATAAAAAGTGCACGAGGAGTTTGTCCTGTGTGTAAAAATCTCTTAACTTGGGTGCATTTTTTTTATCCAAAATGATCTGCGCTACTCGAATACATTAAGAGAGTATAAAAGCATATCGACAAAACACACACGAACAACGAAGGGAATGATTTCCAGTGAGATTGGGAATGAGGATGAGGTTAGGGAGCGTCTCTCATATGCTCAGAGCCGACGGACTTGCCTTTTGCAACATAAGTTATACCCATGTGGAATGAGTCTGTAACTGTGATATCAACAGGATGGACAAACACAACTTGGACAGCTGTTATAGAGTTTCTTAATTTAGGACCAATGCTTTATAACATAGGAAGCAACTCCTAAAAACAGTCAATGGGCTTGATTTCTTAGAAATTAGAAAAGGAAAGCATTTGAAAAAATTACTTGTTACAATTCACAACAGAAGAACAACATTTTTAAAATCAAAATAAAATACAGGAACATAGGAGCTGAGGTCCCCAAGGTACCAAGAGATAGAATCAGACTTCTTCACATTAGAATTTTTAAAAATATAGTTAAAGGAAAAATTAATTGGGCTCTGCACAGCAGGTTAAATATGCAACCACTTCAAATGGAAATGATTTCATTCTCTCACATAGTTCCGAGAACATGCTCGAATGTCCAGTTCTCTACAGCCAAAATAGCAAAAGCACATGATTTCATTAGCAAAGGCCCCTTTGTCTCGGACTTAAATTCACCTCTGACCCACCAAAGTTTAAATTAGCAATTATGAAACTATTATTTTAATAACGTTTTAAGCTTGCAATATTATTTTTTCTCATGCCTGGTCCAGGTCGCTGGTTCAGAGGTAATATATGCTTTAAACTAGCCAAATGTGCAAGTCCCACGGCGTCCGCAGAAAACGATCGACAACGGTTTCAGAGTGTTATGATCGTCCCATCCTCTTCTAAGAGTTTTTGATCTGGAATGTGTGTGTCAAATTCTGTATTTGTGCCGCTGGCTGTGGGTGCTAAGCTCACCTCAGCAGAAGGGATAAAACCATTCTGTCCAGACTCCAGACTGAGTTCTATCTGCGTTAACGATTCCAGGCTCTCGGCGTTAGGAACCGCGTTCGGAATCTGCTGCGGCACTCCATTGCCTTCGATGACAATGTCGTCTTCTTCACTGTCTTCGTCCTCTGGCTCAAAGCTGGGTTCGCTCTGCGGCGGGCAGCCGAGGAGGCTGTTGTCAGTAGACTGGCCGGAGCTGCCGGAGGCCCTACTGTGCCTGACGACATTGTTCCTCTGGTTCGCCGGTCGCACTGTTATGATGAGGTTGCGGCTGTTTGCGATCATCATGTCTGTCACTTGATCGAGACTCTTCCCTGAAACTTCTATGCCATTGACTTCTAAAACTTCATCATTAACAGCTAAGAGTCCTGTGCTTTGAGCCAGACCTCCTGGGACAAGTCTGGATATAAAGATCCCTGGGACCTTCTCTAAGCCGTGCGGTGTCACCCTGACACTGGAGCCGTCTCGGATGTAGAATCCCAGGGGCTTCTCCGTGCCGTACTTGTAAAGACGAACCCTGCGATGCGTTTCCGGGAGAATATCCACGTCTATGATGGAAGACACGGGTCTGAAGTCCTGGGGCATACTGATGACTATATGTGGCTTTTTCCTGTGGTTGTCAGGACGCAGGACGTTGGTTAAAACATTCTTCTTCTTTATTAGTGTGTCTGTACCAAAGGCACTGTAGTCTGCTTCTTCTGTTTAAAAATAAAATAATTATAGAAATGTTGTAAAAACATCCATTTATCGACAACTCAATCTGTACAGAAAGGATAACTGAAATGTATTTGCTACATAAACACACTAATGAAATACTGGCTCATTCTAAGCAGATCAAAATGTAGCGCAGCAGTAAGATGCGCTATGTGAGGAAAAAACCACTAGGTGGCCCTCTCGAGTACATATTATAAAATTACCAAATGGTGAAGTTAAATTTGATAAAGCTCGATAACTATTAAATAACATTAAGTATGCCAAATGAAATTCTGATAAGTCTTACAAACACATTCTTAAACATTATTTTAAACGAGTTATTTAAAATGTATTTTCCTTTCATTTGTTTAAAAAACCTCCAATTTGCATGTTTATCATATTCAACTCAATGTCATGAAAGAGGACACTCTGATTCCCAAGGTAGATCAACAGAACAAACTCAAATACTTGTATTAGAGGCTGGCTGGGCAGATAATGTAATTAAATAACGCAGGCTGATAATGTAATTAGATTAACGCATATCGAACACAAGAATTTTTGTCTTCGGCAAATATACACTCTCCCTCAGTTTCCTGAGGGAGTTCTTAATTTCATTTTTCCGCTTTTGAAAAAGGCTGAGGTATAAGACCTTTAACTTTTTCCCACTGTGTGAAAAACAAAGTGCGATGACATTTCGCCTCAGTGGTGGTGACAGATGACAGGGAGCTAAGTGCGCGACAAGCTGCTCTTCGCTCCTGACGTTTCTCTTCACGTACTGCAGGAATCTGAGTGGCTACATCCAATGTGCCAGAGAGTCTCGTGTGTTTAGGTCAGAACCTCCCCATTTTCAAATGCTGCCACCCAGTTAAAAACCCACCACCGTGTGTTTGAGCCAAATAACATCCGGGGGTCGAATTCATTCAAGCCAACAATTTATCATCTCTGATGTACACGACGGGAAGACAGGGCACCTCAGGCCAGATATTCTTAATCACACTGCTGAAGGAAGCCAGTCAACAAATAAAATGCCTCATCAGAGAAGGAGAGGCAGGAAAGGAAAGGAAATTAACAGCAGGCACGAACGTTGAAATCGTGTTTTAAAAATAACTGGAAAGGGGATAAACTAAAAAGATAAAAGCCTCCCACCCCGAAGAACTTGTTCAAAATCCCAGCCTCGGATACGGCGGCGGGAGGTGGCGCCGCGGCCGTGCGCAGAGCGCTCCGGCATTCTCCCCCTCGACGCTCGCCGGCCCCTCTGACTGTACAGACGAGGGATTTAAGGGCACGGAATGAGTCGCAGAGAAAAGGCGGGCCCCGGGTTTCCTCGCCAGGCCAGCGCCGTCAGCAGTCACAGAGTGGACGCTGCGTCAGCCGTGTCAGAGCACGGGGACCTCAGGATTCTCTGCTCATGCTCCCTGGACAGTCTTCAAAAGCCAGTGTCGGGGAGATGGACAAGGCTGAGGTACTTTTTTTTTTTTTTTTTTTTGGCATTTTTTTCCCTCCATGGAGATAATTTTGTCTTCATTTATCGATAAAATATTTACACTGTGTTCTTACAGAGACCGAAATTTATGATTTGGCTTTGGAAAGAAATCCACTGATGCAAGAATCTTTTTGGCAGAATTTGGCCAAAAATCTAACAATCATCATCTACTACTTACTGTGTTTCTTCAAAATTACACATTTTCATTTTAAATCAATTAAGAAAGCCCACATAACATTTATAAGGGAAATTCCAGACCATACAAACTGAGAACATAATTAAGTTGCCTACATACCTACCCATGGGAAAACTGACAAAAGAAAAAAAAACACCCACCCAAATCTGCATAATTTGGCATCACATCCAGACTGTTTGAATGCTCTGCTAAACTCTCAAAAGCAATGTGCCCGTACAAAGGCACCTTTGTTCCTCCATCTAGCTAATCAGTTTCCAGCCACTGGGAAAGGAAATATTTTGGCAGACAGCCAGGGGGCAGGGTGTTAGCTTAAGTGTAAAGGTGAATGTCCGCAGGGAACAGGAGTTCACTTTCTACCTGGGTATGTATATCGAAGCACCGAACTCAGAATGAGATGGAAAGTTTGGAAACCTGGTTCATAGCAACCTTCCACTTGTTTAAACCCAGGCTTATGCAACAGCATAGCAAAACCTCCCTCACCCGAAGCCTGCCCCTCACCCGCCAACCTCGGCTAACTGGAACCGACGGGGAGCCACCTAACAGGCCACTAACCAGCCCGTTCTCCGCAGGCCGCCCCTATGAATCCCTTATTCTTTAAACATTAGTTCTGAGAAGCCTAGTTATCTCGTTCCTTAGCTCACACAGAGTTGTAGGTTACAGATGCAGAGCGAGGGGTAAAGGCTCACTAGGGAGTGGCAGGCACAGACACAAGAAATAAAAGCCTACAGTGGATAAAAAGCAAATCTGGAAAAAAAAAAAAACCCCAAACTTTCTATAAAACCATCGGTATCCCTATAGAGTAACAAAACAGTAACACTTCACGGTAGAGTCCTCAAGACAGTTCAAGATTAGGACCGGTTTGAAGTTTACTAGGAAGACAGGGAAGAATGATGTCGTTCTTTGAAACTGTTCTAATCCAGGGGTTGAGGACCTTCTTCTGTAAAGAGTTACATAACAAATATTTTAGGTATCGCAGGCCACAGTCTCTGTTGCAAAAGCAGCCATAGGCGATCCATGAAGGAATGAAATGAGCGTGGCTATGTTCCAAGAAAACTTTATTTACAAAACAGCCAGCAAGCCTTAGCCTGCCAATTCTTGTTCTAATCCAAAATGGTTAAATGAAACAGATCTGGCACTTTAAAAGGATTAAATGTCACTTAAAGCAATATTCAAATTTTGCAAATCTCTTCACTTCCTAATGTAAGAAAAATCAATCACCAAATACTTAAGAAGCACCACGTCCGTGCCCAGCCATTCTGCTCTGTGCTGCAAGATTTAGTGAACAAAACGATAGGCTGCTTGATTTCATGGCACTTACAGTCTCAACAAGGACATGGCAGTTAACAATTTCAAACAATTAAATTATTATAACGTGCCAAGAGCTGTGACCTATACTGTGCTGTGGGAGCATGTAAATAGGAACCTAGCCTGGTTCGCAGGGTAAGTCAAGGCTTCTCCAGGGAAGTGAGGTTCATGCTGAGACCGGAAAAGAAGCTCATCAGGTAGAAGGGAGGGAAGGACGCTCCAGGCCCAGAATACAGCGAATGGAGAGAGGAGCAGGATGGGGGCAGACGGAGTCCAACACACTGTCATGCGCCACTTAATGACGGGGATGCGTTCTGAACGCATCGTCAGGTGATTTCATCCTTGTGCGAACATCGCAGAGTGCGCTCAGACAAATCTAGATGGCATCGCCCACTACACACCTAGGCTACACGGTCTGGCCTGTTGCTCCTCGGCTACAAGCCTGTACAGCATGTCACCGCACAAAACGCGAGACTAAATCACGCGAGACTAAATCAAGCGCAATGATGCAATCGAGGGCACAAGAGGATGCTGTTGGTGTCAACGGAGTATCCTGTTTACAGCAAACTTCTTTTTAATAAGTAGAAAGAGTACGTTCTAAAATAACGATAAATAGTATAGTAAATACGTAAGCCAGTAACATATTATCACAGTCAGGTATTATGTGTCGTACATAATTGTATGTTCTGTACTTTTATATGACTAGTAGTGCAATAGGTCTGTTTACACCAGCATCACCACAAACACCTGTGGACTGTGATGTGCTATAACCTTCCTAAGGCTACGATGGCTCTAGGTGACAGGAATTTTTCAGCTCCGTTATAATCTTAAAGGACCTTCGTCGTGTATGTATGTGGTCATATGTGGCATGTATGTTTCGTTGACAGAAGCCTCATTATGTAGCGAGATTAAAGGGTGGGCGTGGAGGGGAGGAGTCCAGAGCCCAGCGGGAGGCAGCGCGGGCGGGGGTAGGGGGGTGGGGGTCTGGGCAGGCAGGGCCTCCAGGGAAGTGGTAAGGGTTAAAGACTTCGGCGTGAGGGCCATGGGAAGAAAACCAAGGATTTGGGTCATTCTATAAAGCTCAGTTTGGCTGCAAGCTGGAGAATGGCGCTGCGGGGGAGCTAGGAGGCTACTGCAGTGATTTAGGGGGGTACCTGGCCTGGAGCAGAGGCAGCAGCGATGAGGAAATACGTGTGAAAAATAACAGAACACAGTTTTAATAGGCTTGGTGACTGAAAAACAGATGTGTCAAAGGTGGCTCCAGGTTTCTATCATGAGAACTGGTGTCATATTCTGAGATGTTACTCCACAGTTTCTTCTTTTTAGTTTAATTTTTTATTTCTGGGGCCATACCTTTTGTTAAACTACTTTTTACAATTTACTATTAAAATGTATACCTCTTAGACCATTTCCAAATTAAACCGATTCATTAAAATATAACCTTAAGATACATGTACAAAATAATGTCCACTGCACGGTGAAGTTCTAAGAGGTGATTCAGGTGCATGCCCAGTTAGTTCCAGGCGTCTGGGCCACAAAGCCATGTCCTAAGTGGGACGATGTTGAAATCAAGCCCCTTCTTGTGCTTCCAACAAACTCCTCTGAATAAATCCAAGTAGTAAATGTATTTGTCATACAAAAACAGATGGCGATACAGCATGGAGCTGTGGTGTAGATACCCTGATCAGATCTGGCGAGGACTCTGTGCGAATCAACAGACCCCAGACTTGGCCGATCCCCATGGCTGGCTGGGAAGTTTTGAAAAAGCACACATTTCCCGGGCTGTATTCCAAACCTATAGGAATGACCTGACTCATTTTTAAAGGTACAACCTTTACATATTTTCTAACGTTGTTTACTGCAATAACTGAAACAATAAGAGAAGAAAAATCCTATTCCGTACTTTCTCTTCCCCCTCCCCAACGAATGAGGAAAGTCTCAACTCCAGTGGGGATGGGGGCTGGCAAAAGACCTGGGAATCCTCTTAGTGAAAATAACTTTTAAGATATCAGGTGTTTTGTTTTGTTTTGTTTTTTTTGCTTCCAGGATAACAGCCCTAGAAACAGAATATGAGGTTTTTCTTCTCACAAAGAATATTATTACAAAACAAAAAACTTTTCATCACTATCTTTGAGTTCACGCTATAAAGTGGTTTATGGATTTAATTGTGAGCTTTCATGTCAAAGAAACTTTATTTACTAGAGTGTATTAGATTTTAAAAGATCACACAGTTTTAAATTTTTAAATGGCTTTGAAATTTGTTTTTAAAAAAATCACTTGGTGCTGTATCAAGTGTAAGTGCTGCCCTGTTGATTCCTAAATTAGAATCGACAAGCCAAGAAATAGAAAATGCATTGTAACTAAGTAGTAAAATGTAACTATACTCAATGTCATGCTTTATATTAGTTTCCTGAATTTAATGTCCATTCAAGTTCACATAAAATCAGCCATCAACTTCAGCAGCTGTTGAGCTTTGTTTAAAAGACGACAGTGTCACCAGGAATCACAGGGCACTATGTTAAGTCTGTCAGGACAGTAAGCAAGTTAATTCACATAAATCAGGGAATTCCAGGTTTTTTCCAGGTGATTCCTGAGGGCAGTTAATCTGCTAAAGGTGGAAGGCCATGGCGCTTCGGCAGGTGGTGAGGGGAGACCGCTCTGAGAAAGCCACCTGAGCCAAGACCTGAAGGATGAGGCGGCGGCCATGGGCAGAAGTGCAGGGAAAGCTTCCTCAGCGGAAGGAAAAGCAGGTGCCAAAGGAGAGACAGCAACCAAGTGTGAGGGACAGAAAGCCAGTGAGTGCAGATGGCCGTGAGGACGGAACAGGAGGGTGGAGGAAGATGAGCCTGTGAAGCCCAAACCAGGAGGTTTATTCTTAGTACAACGAAGAGCCCGTCGAGAGTTTTAAGCAGGGACGAAATGACCAATTTACAGTTCATTTTTTTTGCTTAAGTCATATTTGTATTAAATTTATATTTTTTAAAACAGAAATTCTCTGTTGAATGGACTGCCTACTTCTAAACCAAAGTCTAAGGGCTATTAATTGTATCAGATATTCTATTCCAGGGGTCCCCAACCTTTTTGGGACCAGGGACCAGTGCTGCTGTGAGAATCTAATGCCTGATGAGCGGAGGCGCTGGCGCTGGCGCTGGGGAGCGGCTGCAGATACACGTGAAGCTTCACTTGCTCTCCTGCCACCTGCCACTCATCTGCTGTGCAGCCTGCTTCCTAACAGGTCACAGTCCAGTATCGGTCTGTGGCCTGCGGGTTGGTGACCCCTGTTCTAGTCTATGACATAGAACACTTTTGTTCACATAGGTACATATTTAAAAAGGAAATGGAAGATAACCATCCTTAAAGGATGTTAGGATTAATCCCAGGATCATGTGTTACAATTCCAGTAATAAAAACATGTGGTAGTACACTCTAACTCCTGTAATCTTTCTTGAGAAGGGGATAATTTTGTCAAGTGGCAGCAGTTTAAAACAGTCATTCTACATCTGAATACACATTCCAAAGAACAACTACATTTTTAATGAAAACTACAGCCGCTAACAAGAAAGGTCTACTAGTCAACAATAATTATTTAAATTATTCTGCTTAAAATGATAAATTCCACTCGACTGGAATGGAATTCTCTCCTCTACTGAAGTTCTTTCTCCTCAGTATTCTATACACAGCCTTCTAGGGGTCTATCCTGGTCTTCATCTCTACCAGCCCTGATGTCTACTGCCAGAAATTCCAACTCTCTCTGACCAGCCTCTAGTCTACCATTTTCAAATTCCTAAATGACATGGTTGAAACTCACCAGCCAGATAAGCATTTTTGCCCTAAAACCAAACCAAATTTCATTCCAAGTCAAGTTCTCTTCTAAATTCTGCTTGTTTGTGACACCATCCCAGCCATCAGGCCCCAACTACTCTTTTGGACGACTCTTCGACTCCATGCCACTCAGCAGGAGGGCGCCGTGACACTGCAACACTCCCCTGTATCCTCCCGGCCACTTTCTTCCCCGCGTCTTCTGCTGGGGCAGCTTCCCAGCTGTCTCTTCATTGCCTGCTCCTTGCTCTCTCCTCCAAGACTGCTGCTCACTCCAGCTCATCCCAACAGCCAAATCATACCACACCCGTTATCTACTAAATCTATGGCAGGGGTCTCAGGGAAAATTGTGTATTTGTCAGTATTTTGTAAACAGTTAAATGATACAGACATAAGTAACCCCTGGAGGTTTATTTTGTTGGTGGACTTTAGTTCCTCCAAACACAAAAAGGCAGACACATCATCAGTGGAATTTCAAAGCCTAGGGAGTGGTCTAAGGCTTATCAACTGATTGGAAAGAGAGTTTCATCTTCAAGGGTAATCCCTACCTATTCTCCCAAACTGCCTTCTGGGTTGGTTTACAAACACTGGAAAGCTTTAATTATCTCACCAACACTGGGTCTGCTGCTCTCATGCTGGCTTTCTAAATCTCTTTATTTACCAAGGACAAAGGAATAAATGGCACACACCATGCCTATCTGCAGACAGGCAGGCACGCGCGTGCGCACGCGCACACACCCACACACACACACAGGAGGCCACACAGTTAAAAAAGTTTTAGGACTCAAAGTACAGAAAACGCTTGCCATGTAGAGCGGTTATTTAACTGTTCTTTCGCAAGGCTAATATCAATGTTTACATTTCTCCATAATAATTTCCCAGATCATTAAATAATTTTATTTCTGTGAAAAATATCCTAAAAGAGAAAGATGACATTTACTGGCTGCCTGCCCACGACTTGCCAGGGCACTGCACTTGGCTCATTTAACCTTCCTAGCACTCCAAGGAGATAATACATTCATTCTATAGAAAAAGACACTGAGACCTAGGAAAGATAAGTAACTTTTTCAGGTATCTATTAAGTAGTAAGTACAGCACTTGAAAGTTGGTTGCCGCCAAAAAACAAACAATATTTTTCTGACTCCAAAGTCATGCATGCTCTTTCTATATCTTTCTGAATGGACAAAATTCCATGCAATGAAGTGAAGACTCAATAAATTACTAATTTTTATTTTTAAAAACTCTAAGAGGGTTATAATTAATTAAAACCACGAATATTCTAAAGTACACTTAGTGAAGTATAAAGATAATCATTAAACCAACAATATCACAAATGTAATAGAGAAAAAAAACTTCTAAAACAAGTTTTATAAACAGTGGTACTTACCCTTTTTTTGTATAAAAATCCTAAGCAATGGATTGGCCGTTGAAACAGCTTTGTGATAATTATCATCGTTATTTATAGGTAGTAAGTCTCCATGGATGTCCGCATAGCCTACTAAAACGTCAACATTGGGTATCTTATGAACATGTTGCAGTAATCCATAAAACTCCTCAAATTTTCCAGGTTTCGATCTTTCCAGTGAAAATCGACGAAATTCAGCTCCAAACTATAAATACAAATAAACATATTAACTTTTTAAGAAGTAACAGGACCCAGTTTAAAAACATATGCCATAGAAAAATTAATGGTATATTATTTCCCTTAATAAAGAAGATCATTTCAGTGACACAGTCCATTGTCAGAAAGGTCATTATCTGGAGTCAAAAGAGCATAAGGAAGGCACTAGAATGTGCCTTCTCACTGCTGCATCTCTGAAGGGCATTCTCTTCAAGAGATGCAGGCTCAACTCAATCCCTAGGGGACTGTTCTGCACAGTGACTCAGCTCAAACAGTCTGGAGCCCAGATCTCCTCACTCAGGCCACGGAGTGACAAGATGTGCCCAAGTCTTTATTTTGACTGTTAGCAAAAAGCATCGAAGTTTCTTCCCCTATAAAAGGAATTATGATTTCACAGGAAATGGCAAGAATTAATAGAAACAGATACAAAAAGGACTTGGAGCTTCTTGGCATTTAAGATATAATACAAATGGAGGTATATAACATAAGAAATAGGTCTAGAGAGAAAAAGCATCTTCTCTATGTTAATACTGTAAAAAAGGCTTTATTAATACATCAAATATATGTCTACAACTATCCAATTAACTCAAAAAGTGTTTATGTGCTTGGCACAGTCTAGACTCTAGAGATTGAAAGACTCAGGCCTGCACGAACTCACCAATTAGTGAATAAAGAGAATAATTACATGAGAGAGGTAGTAAGGGATCACACGAACAGGGAGTACCCAAATTTATCTTCACAATTCTGATTCTCAGGTCTGCTTCCTACTCTAGAATCACACCTCTGCTCTCCAAGTGCCAAATTATTAAAGTGGCTCTTATCCAACACGAAGGGCTGGCTCACTCTAGTCCATAACAAACAGGATCCACAGGACTTACTATGGGGACTAGCGTGGCATTTCCCCAAACGCGGAAACCTAAGACAGGTTAATCGGCTTTCCTCAAAAAAGTGTACCAGCCACGTAAGTTTGGGAGATGCTACATTGTAACTAAAACTACACTCTTAGGAATCACTGTGGTTGATTTAAAAAGAAAAAATTAAAACGAGTGTTTGCCAAATATGTTTGACCACCAAACTCATTTTTCCTCTAAATACCTATTATTAGCAAGAAATACTAATGCACCAATAGCACAGCCTTAAGCACCAAGCGGAAAAAGTCTCCATCAGAATAATCGAAGGTTACAAACATGTCAGTTCATTTTCCCAATGAACTGACATGTTTGTAACCTTCGATTATTCTGATGGATATTCCCAGGATAGCTGGAGTCCCAGCTTTTGCTCTAAGAAGTTCATTTGCCTTGCTTATACCCAACGCCACTCACTAGTTTTAAATTAAAATAAAAACTCACTAAAACCACCTCTATCCTCTAATAATTAATTAAAAGTTTCCAGAACACATTCCTGAATCATAAACATTAACATTTGTCAAGAAAATAAGGTGACTCATACCTAAAGCTCTCAAAAAGTTTAGTCACACCTTCTGGTTTCAAAGTAAATAAAAACTTGGGAACACCCTTCGTATCAGAGTTAGTCTTATGATGTTATCAAAAGTCATAGCTTCTCCTCCATTTTCTTGATTCTGGTATCACAACATAAAGTCCCTAGTGCTTTCTGATTCATCCCAGAGTTCATCACTACTCCTGATACATGACGGGGAGTGACATCTCATAATGGAACATTTTAAGGTTTCGATGTTTTTGCTAAAGCTTTTGGGTGAAAATTCTTTACTCGACATTTTTTTTCTCTTGCTTAAATATTGTGATAAAAACAATGGAAAACTGTATGGCTTCACAGTAGATGTGCTCTTTTTGCAAATGTCAGCAGAAAAAAAGAAAAGAGAAATTGTTATGCTTCTTGAACCAAAGCAAAAGGATTGAGAACTGTTTACTATGTGAAGAAAAATACTAAGAGATAACCTTAAGACCAATCAACAACTATTCTCTATGTGAACCATTACAACATTTTTAGCCTGGTCTAGTGTGTCCCGGCCACCCAGAATTGAATAAACACCCTTCTCCTAGCATCTGTTGGTACATTCTAGAAATGCAAACTTAATTTTAATATTCTGTTTGCCCCTGAATAATAATTAGGAAATGTACAGCTGAAGACTGCTCCAAGGTTATTAAAGGACATCACTTTGATTATTAAGAACTTTCTCAACTCTGGAGAAACAGAAAGATAAATTAGTTACCAAAAAAACAGTCACATGGTAGCTGGTATCACAATTTAACTATAGTTATATTTGCATGATCCATTACTTTATTTGTACCATTTTTCTTTTCCATGAGCAATGATAAGAAAGTTGACACTGTTTTCTAGGTACAAGAAAAAGAAATCCTAAAATGCAGATGTGCTCATAACCTAGCTGTGGTAACCACCTGACCTCTTAGTGATCAGTTCTGTCAAAAGCTATGCTATCACTAAAGCAGTGCAAAAGGAAATATTGTTGCAAACATAGGTCCAAATGTTTTTTAAATGGTAAAGACAAGTGTTTTACTTAATCTGTTAAAAACAAATGTGACAATAATACATATTTGAAACACAAGGTATCACAGACACACTGGAAACAGTACCTATACTGTGTCTATTTAGCAACAGCTAGAACAATAGTGAGATGACACTTCGTTCCCCCGCAGGCTCTCAGAATGCCTCGATTCTATTTAAGAGACAAGATTCACTAACAGTGCAGTACGTCAGGTCACATTTGTAACATATAGACATAAGCACGGGAAAGGTTCACCTATCAGTTTACAGAAGGGCAGAAAGCCTGAAATTCCAGTCCCCAGGTGCTTAAGGTTTCCTAGTCAGAGAGAGAAATTTGATTGGATTTGTCAGTGCACCTAGAATTCCTACTCATTTTCCCCATGATCAAAAAAAATTACTGACTTGCCTCCAAGATTAGAACCACACAAACTGAATTTTAAGATCATGCAATACCTTGAGTGTTTTTCTTAACCTCAACTCCCACGAAACCAGGCTAGATTTATAACAGAAATGCCATGAGAAGATTCAAATTGGGCATGAACCACTACTACCACCACTATATTGCTGGAGGAAAAGCTCTATATATTTTGAGTCATCTTAGCCCTTGCTTCAAGCATGCCACTTCTGTTTGCTATGGCAATTCCATGGAGCACACAAGGAAGACCATATTCCTTAGTATGGTTTACATGGCTTCTAATTACATTCCTATTCTTATTAAACAGAGCAGTCTCTGAAACATGTGCCTATCCTCATTCGAGGTGTCACAGATAACATTTAAAAATGATGTTAAAAATGAATGTAGATATTGATGTGATGATCTCGGTTACAACTTCCAGAACTTTGCTTATCAACTCTAGATAATAAAAACCATTCTACCCGCAGGCTCCAGGGAGCTTTCCTTACCCTACTTCACTCCTTGATTTTGTATTCCAAGCAGTCTTACGTTCAGTGATGTTTCATTGTTTTTGAAGTTGCTATGCTTTTATTTTTCTCCTATTCTGTGTTTTGGTCTTCCAGATTCTATTTTAAATGTTCTCAAGACCCGACCAGTGTCCTCTCTTTTGTATTCTATAAAGCCTAAAAGTTACTCTGTAAAAAGGCTTTAAGGTTTTGTCACAAAAGCAGAGCTTGGAGAAGTCATAACCTTCCTGAGACTCCCTCTTCTCAGAGAATTAGACTAGATTATCTAAGCTCCCTTCGGCTTTTCAATTAATGGGATACTTGCTGAAAATGTTCCTGTGGCTGCCGATCACCTTCAAATTCCAGTTCAAAACCTTCTTTGGAAAGCATTCCCTAACTAATCCCTGTAGACGGCCCTGCTTCAGGGAGCCTTGCGATTTAGGAATTCAGTGGATACCGATGTAATTATCAGCAGATTGGCATACCGTTGGTCAAGAGTGAAAACACTTGATGTGAAAAGGTAGCATGATGGAATGAAAAGGGCATCCAGACTCAAACTGTAAAGTGCTACTCAAACGAAAGGTGATACTGTTAATTTTACAGATTAAATGCATACCAAAGTTAGTGCTAGAAAAATGCCCAACAGGAAGCAAAGCTAAACTTTCAAAGGGCTTGTCAGTTCACTGGGCTCTCTCCTGCACCACTCGATGCGCCCCTGAACCACAGAAAGGGGTAACATTTTGTGACCGCGGGTGTTCCGAATATCTTTAACGCGTGGGCACCCAGCAGCTAGGATTCCCCCTCGAACGTTTCGAAACCACGCCGCACTCCAACGCCTTGGTAGTCTCTTGGCCCCCACTCCCATCCTTGAACAGGAATGAGATTCAAGGAACGAGATAAAGTGCTCCGCCGCTCTCCCTACCTGGGCCAGGGGCAGACGCAAGGCCCCACCCTGCTCCCCTCCCTTTTCAGCAAGTTTATTACCCACCATCTCCAGCCTCCAAACCCCACTACCGCGCCCCCACCCCCGTCGTCCCGTGCGCGGGGGCTACTCTTCAGGCCGCCCCTGGCCAGACCCTGGCCCCGCGCAGGCCCCGACCCCATCAGGACGGCCGCTCCGCCTAGCCTGGGCCCCGCGCACCTTGCTCTTCACCTCCATGGTGCCCAGGCAGCCGCTGCCCGCCCCGTGCCGGTGGCTGCGGTTCATGCTGAGGCCGGGTCCCGCAGCGGCCTCCTCCAGCCGGGCCGCCCCCCGCCCCTGGGAGCGCGGGGAGAGACTCTGTGCGCGGCCGGCAGGTTCCGGACACGGCCGCGGCCCGGGCGCCTCCTCACAGGCACCTGCAGAGGGGCGGCCGCGGCTCGCGTCTCCGCGCCGAGCTCCGCGCCGCTGGCTCTTCACTCGGCGACACCGAGGGTCGGTCTGGCAACGCGGCGGGCGGGGACGCGACTCCCTCCCTCCGGGCCTCCGCTGCAGCCGCGACGGCGGAGGCGGAGGAGGAGGAGGAGGGGGCGGAGCAGAGGCGGAAGGAGGAAGGAGAATAAGAGAAGAAAAGAAGGAGAGAAGGAAGAAAGCATTTAAAGTAATTGCATCATATTA